GCAGTACTTCCCCAGCTCGCTGAGCTCGTTCTCCCCCACGACCTCACGGGTCTGCCGCATCCCGCTGACCAGTGGCACGTCCTTCATCGACCCCGAGTCGATCAAGATCGCCTTCCGCGTCAGGAACACGGACGGCACCAACCCGCTGGCCCCGGCCACGCCCAACCCCGCCTGTTTCGTCCAGCGCGTCCAGGTCTTCGCCAACGGCCAGCGCTGCGACGACATCAACTACTACGGCCGCACCGTGGCCGTGCACGACCTGCTGAAGGGCCGAGAGTACAACCGCAACAAGGCCATGGAGGGTTTCGATCAAGTCAACGATCCCCGCATCGCCCGTGCGGTGCACCAGGGCGGGTACGCGGACGTGCTGCTGCGCCCCACCATGGTGGGCATCCTGCGCTGCGGCAAGATGCTGCCCCCGCAGCTGAACCTGAGATCGAGTTTGCGGACGCCACGACTGCGCTGTGGTCCGAGAACGCCGGGGCGCACCCGGCGGGAGCCACGCTGAGCGCCGACTTCGAGATCCAGAACGTCCGAGTTCTGGCCTCCCAGGTTGTTTTAGACTCGGCGCTGGTCGAGTCCTTCAACCGGGTGCTGCTGTCCGGGCGCTCCCTCGTGTTCAGCTACCCCACGGCGCACACGCAGCAGTCCAGCGTCCCGACGGGCGTGGCAGAGCACAACGTCACCGTGGCGCGCGTGTTCACGAAATTGATGGGCGCGTTCGTGGGACAACGACGTGGGCTCGAAGATCCACTTGCTGGCCAGCTGGACGTGGCCCCCATCGGCGCGCCTCCTGGAGTCGCAGATGCAGCTGGGCAGCCTGCAGTACCCGCACAACCCTATGAAGGGAGCCTCGGAGCACTTCCACTTCCTCTCGGTCCTTGCGGGGACGTACGACGACACGGTGCGCAACATCGACATCGGCCGTGTGGGCTACCTGCGCCACAGCTTCATTGCCGGCTCCGGATGTCGCACAGGATCGTGGGCTCAAATTTCGACACGATGCCCAGAGAGACGACTTCCCAGCCCGCCGCCTCGAAGGCCCTGCCGACCGACTTCGTGCCGCAGAAAACCTCCAGGAGTCTCGGCATTTTTAAAGAGCAAGATCACCACGAGTGCGACGGCGACGGCGCAGGCTCGTGCGTTCATCGGACCGGACTTTTTTCTCCACCGGATAAAAAAGGAGCCGCGCTTCGCAACCATGAAGCTTGCGCTCGGGCTGGACGTTCAGACCAATGCCAAGGGGGGGAAATTCATGTCCATCGAGGACTCCCATCAGGGTGCGTTGGTGTGCAAGGTCGACGTGGAGGTGCTGTGGGAGCCCGGCAACTTCCAGGACGACGGGAGGGTCGGAGTGTGCTTTGCGAGCAACACCGACCTGGAGCTGTGGACGGAGGAGGTGGAGCAGGTGATCGACAACATGATCGTGTTCGAGAAGCCCGTCCCGGGCGCCTCCCGCACCAAGCTCGAGAGCCAGCTCCAGCGCGCCGTCAAGGTGAGGGCAAGCACGTCAAGTGCAAGATCGACTTGGGGCTCGGCGGCAAGAGTTTTCCCGTCACAAAGGCCGTGCGCTCGTGGAGGCCCGGCATGAGCAGGCAGTGGGTTGTTGTACCTCTCCGGGTGAGTCCAAAGTTCAAATTCTTTTGTTCGGCGTGCTCTTCGAGGTGCGCCACCTCATGCTGGAGCCCTGGAGGCCCCGTGCGCCTAGTAAATCGGAGCTCGTCGCCCTCGACGGCCCACACACAGGTGGCGCTGCGTGAGGTGGCGCGCTCCAGGTCCAGGCAGACACGGCGAGCCCCTGGCATAGGTCGCTGCGTGGCTCAGCCGGGCGGTTGCAGGAGCTCCTGGTTCTTCAGCCACATGCCGTTGTCCAGCACGGCCACGAAGACTCTCTTGAAGATCTTTTGCCCGGCCCCGATGAGGCGCAGCCCCGGCCACACCCTCGTGCTCTGGGGGCTGTTTTGGGACAACGACCCAAACCTATGGTCTCCAGCTTGAGCAGCTTCGGGCCCTCGGGCCCAGGGCCCGGTTCACCGCTGCGTTCACAACCACGCGCCTGCTGTGGCTGATGAACCAGCGTGGTGTTCGGCCACCCGGGCTTCGAGGGGAAGAGCTCCCTCAGCCTCCCCTTGGCCTGCTCCAGCGTGGAGCACCCCTCCTCGCCGACCCGCAGCCACTTCACGAAGTCGAAGATGCCGGGGTCGGAGCGCATGTTCTCCGTGAGCTCGTGCCGGTGCCCGCCGGCCAGGTCCCGGATTAGGTGGCTGTGCTCCAATGGGGCGCTGATGGGCCGCCCGGCCCAGGAGTGTCCAGTACGGCCTGGAGCTGCCGGAAGTCGCCCAGCAGCAGGAACTTCGGCAAAGAGGATCTTGCAGTTGGGAATTGTGAGCAACTTGATGGGATATAGTACAGGTGAGAACAGCCTTGACGAAGCCTTGAGCCTGGAAGAGAGCCCAATCTTTATGAGCGAAAACCAGTTCCGGATTATCTTTGATCTTGTGATGTTCAGCGGATTTGTGATTTTCTTGCTATGTGCTTGCTATACATTCTGCATGTATGCGCGTGGATATTGGTTGTACAAACGGAGCGTCTGCGGAGGAGCGCAGTACACAGACTTTGGATGTGCAAGTGGCCAGCAGCTTGCGTTTTGAGGAAGAGCTTACAGTTGAAAGGTCATCAGCGAGCAGCGACCCAGTTGCAGACAGGACTGTTGTTTGGGTGACAGGCGGCGGTCGGTGCTACCACAAGCCAGGTTGCAAGTGGACTCTGCATGGCCACATTGAGATGACAGAGAGCGCGGCCATTTTGGCCAATTACAAAGTGTGCCAAACATGTCACAGCTTTGGCAAGGGGCGTGGTAAAGCTCCATCGGGAGTTTCTGGTGGGGTACTCCGGAGACAATGAGTTCGGAGGCCACTTTTGCCTATGGAGGATCCTTTCGAGATCCGGTTTATGCATCCAACACACTTGGGGGTTCATGATGAGCTCCGGTTGAAATCGTACTTCATGTGAAACATGTAGTCTGTTATGCATGCATCAGCAAGGACTGAGATTCACTGCAGGCTTCGGCGATCAAAATTGCTCGCAGATTTGGAGCGTAGCACGTGTTAGTTTCTGACGCATGCTTGAGTCCGGCAGTGGCCCAGCAGTGGGGTTTTTTGGCAAAAGGAAGCTTGGAGCAAAGTCGGAATTCCCATCTCCGTGGGAAGAATTCCGACCTGGGTGGGAAGAATTCCGACCTCGGTCTCCACACTCCCCAGCACAACCCCGGCACACCCCTCGGCGCACTCCCCCGGCACACTCCCCCGGCGCACTGCCTCGGCAAACTCCCCCGTCCGGGCACACTTTCCCCGGGCAGAGAATTGTCTCTAAAGAGAGAGCTCCTCCTCCTGCAATGCTGAGCCTGAACTTCTGAGCAACGCCTACAGAAAAGGGAGCGGAGCGTCTCGGGCTCCCCTTTTTCATGGCTGTTCCGTCTTGGCTTGAAGCAGTGAACAGGATTCTAAAGCTTGGGGTTTTTCCTTTCCCCCGTGTTTTAATCCTGTTCGAATCTTCAGCCGCGTTAGTAATTCATGCATGCTTGTCTCCCTTGTCGCTCGGTGCCAACAGGTGATGCCTGTGCGCTGCAATACCTCGTGCAAACCTTAACTAAGTTTGCCATACTCCTTGGCTCTTTTGCCCTTGAGTAATTGTTTGAATACTCTCGGCTGTGCCTCGACGGATTTTTTGTTTAATTCAACTTGCGCATTTTGCTCTCTCCGCATGGCCATTCGTGGGGGTTAACGATGCGCAAATGTGCCCCCGGCGGATCTGAGCGCGTGTTGGCTTTTAAGCCCGTCACTTTATCGCTGTCCTTGATGATGCTCAGGTCGTGCATTTTGGAACCTATGTTCCGCATTGGCGATCTTTGGTGGAAGCAACGATCGGCTGCTTTTTGGCGCTGTGTTTTGTTTTTGGTGCCTGTGTTGTCTGCGTTTTTCTTTGGCTGTGTTCTTGTTTTGTTTCGTTTGCCTGATGACTTCCATGTCTCACGGTCTGCTGAAGTCTTGGAGCGGGAAAGGCCGAGTCTTGCATTCTTGCGAGTGGTGGCGCGGCTGTGCTGCGGCAGTGTAGAAGGCGGTAGCGTTCATCTTGGCGTCCGTTGAGAAGACGAGAAGACGGAGCCACACCTACTTAGCCCCGCAGACTTGAGACAAAGATGCTCGTGGCCCGTAGCGCAGCTGGTTTGACTTTGCTCGCGCAAAAATCTGCGCACGCGCGAGCTCCGGGCAAACTTGCCAGGGTTGCTCCCAGGAAGTGGCCAAGCAGGCGCGCGCCTGCTTCCTCAGAACTGCTTCATTGGTTTTTGAAAACATCGCGCCCGCGTATGCAAACGCCGGCCGGTTGTCAAAAACATTGCGCTCGTGCGTACACAAACCCCGTTCAAACTTCCCAAGGGATGGATTCTATGGCAGGGCGCGCGTTTTTGAGCTGATTGTCACAAAACACTGCGCTCGTGCATACACAAACCCTCGTTCAAACCTCCGGAGGGCCGGATTCGATGGCAGGGCGCAGGTTTTGAGCCGATTGTTACAAAACACTGCGCTCGTGCATGTACAAACCCCGTTCAAACCTCCGCGTAGTTTGAGATGGCTCTGCTTATTGAATCGGAGGCTCATTTCTCACAAAGAGCCCAAGAGATCAACTTGGGTGCTGGCGTGCTTAGGGCGCTGAAGCAGAATGGTATTGCCACGCTGGGAGGTTTGGCTTATGCGTTTGGCCAGCCAGGCCAACCCCTGGATGAGGGAGCTATGTTTGCTTTGGGCCTCCAGTGACCAGCTGCTGGGCATTCATGCAGCCCCCCCCTGCGGGACGTGCAGCGCCGCAAGACAGATTGTGCTTCGTGACTCGTCAGGTTCGCGCATTCCGCAACCGGTGCCTTTGAGATCCAAGGATCACCCAGATGGGCTTCCGAATTTGCACGGTAAGAACAAGGTCAGGGTTGATGCAGCCAACTGTCTTTATGCCTTTCTAGCAAAACTTTTGATCCTGTGCCATGCTAGAGGTTTGGTCTTTTGCGTGGAGAACCCTCGGAGTTCCTTGTTTTGGCAAACCAGTTTTTGGAAGTCCCTCGTTTGCCCCACACTTTCACAATTCATCAGGCTTGTGCGTACGGCAGCCAGGCCCACAATTGCAAACACTTCCAAAAAGTTTCTCGCTTGTGCCCAGGTGTCAGTGACTCTCACACTCACTTGCCATGGGGCTTTGCGCACGGCGACACTGGAAAAACATTTGCAACCGCGGAAGAGACTGCATATCCTCCCCAGCTTGCTTGGGAGATTGCCAAGGCGTTTGCGTGCGAAGCAGTGGACCGTGGTTGGCAGCCGCCACCATGCACTTTTGAGATGATGTCGCAGTCCAGCGATCTTCATGCTTTGCGTGCAATCACGGGCCAGCAGCCTCGTGCATCCAAAATTCCACCTTTGGTGCCCGAGCATAAACAAGTTATTGTGCTGCGTGGCCCATTGCATGTCTCGCTGCCTGTTTCGCCAATGAGCCGCATCAAGGTTCCCTGGACAGCTCCAGCTGGCCTTGAGCCCGCTGGATCGGTGGTGCCAGCCGAGTCCCAGCTCCTTCGTGTGTCTCCTTTCCGGCCAAAAGGGGTGTAAGGGATGAGCTTGCTTCTGTTGCTGGTTACCGGGACAAACAATCTGTTGAAATTGCTTGGGGTGTGCCTTTCTCTCCTACCCAGTTTGTTGCAGAGGCTTTGAGGGTTGGTCATCCTCGAAACCTTGACCTGGTGCTGCCTGGAGCTTTGGCGTGTGTTGTTAAGACGCTTGCTGCCGAGGGTTTCGCTCCTATAGCAAAAATGCGTGTGGAGTGTCTCAGGCATTGGACTGCCAGAGCGAGAGAATTGGCACCCGCTGAGAAATCCTTGAAGCGCAACATGCCTGATAACTTGAGATGCCTACTTGCCCCAAAACGTATTCTCCTGTGGGAAGAAATGCTTAAGGCTAGTGGTTACACCGACTTGGGTGTTGTTGCCAAGCTTAAGGAGGGAACCGTTTTAACGGGAGTTGTCCCCCCCACAGGTGTTTTTCCTGCTGCCTTCAGGCCGGCCGTAGTCAGGGAAGAGACCCTAAAGCAATTCGCGAGGACTGCCAGAAAGTCCATCTTGTATGCGACAAGGTCCTCCGGCAACCAATCCCTTGATGAGAAAGTGTATTCCATGACATTGGATGAAGTTCAGTCGGGGTGGCTGGAAGGCCCTATCGACGTCCGGTCACTACCGGATGATGCTGTCATTAGCAGGCGTTTTGGGCTTCAACAACCGAACAAAGTTCGCTAAACTCGACCGTGCAGGCTTCCGAGTCGCCAAGACCTCAATCGACTGACGTTATTGGGGCCTTGGTGGTTCAGCTAATGCGGCAGTTGCCCGGGAGATGTTTGTTGGGACGGACCTATGACTTGAAGTCGGCCTATAGGCAGTTGGGTATTCACCCTGCCTCCCGCTGGGCCAGCTACATTGCATGTTACTGTCTCAAGGAGAAAGCTGCCCAAGTGTTCAGGTTGAGAGCGGTTCCGTTTGGAGCGACAAGGGCAGTTTTCTCTTTTCTCAGGATTGTGCAGAGTATTTGGCATCTTGCTACCTCAATGTTGCATATCCCGTTGAGCGTGTTTTATGATGACTTTGTTGTTTTCTCGGAAGTTGACTTAGTCACCTCGACAAACCAGGCCTTTACGGGCCTCTTGGAACTGCTCGGTTGGCGGTATGCGATGGATGGATCCAAGAGCTGTGAATTCGCCTCTTGTGCGTTGGGCATCACGATCGACCTGAGTGACTCTCGCATAGGTTTAGCTTGTTTTGCCAACACAAAGAAAAGGTGCGCGGAACTTTCCGAATGTCTAAAGGGTATTCTTGCAAAGGGTCGTTTACCGAAGAAGGAAGCTTTGCGACTGAGGGGTCGAATGCATTTTGCTGACTCTCAGGTTTTCGGCAGGACTAGCAAGTTGTGCCTAAGAGCTATCTCAGATCATGGACATTTCCAAACCTCGGAAGAACTTACCGAGTCGTGCGCAGACGCCATACGGCGCTTTGTGTCGTTTCTTGCTTTGGGAAAGCCGAGGTTTCTGTGTGCCCATCGTGAAACGCCTTGGATGGTTTTTACCGACGCTTCGTACGAACCGACAGATCGTGTGTGGCCTGCTGGACTTGGTGCAATTGTGCATGATCCCATGGGACGTGCGCTCGAGTACTACTCTTTGTCCTTGACACATGGTCAAGGACCTCTTTCTGGGGATGAGCATTTTTAGCGGGGCTTGGCCTCCATAAAAAGGGGAACAATAATTGGTGTCACTGAACAACCAAGACCAACTTTGGGTGTTTGGGCACCTCCATTTGACGTGGCTGGCGGCTTGCCATGACATACATTTCTTGCTTGGTTGCTCAGCCCAAGACAGGTACATGGTGGGAATACAAACCTCCATTTGCTTAAGTACCCCGGAAAATATCCTAGTTTCCCTGTAAAACCAACAGGGGGACATAAAGAATATTCATTTCAGCAAGGATTCATCTAAACACACATCCTTCGGTCCTTCAGGATGAGAACCGCAACAAAAACCTACCGTGTGAATTCACCTAGCAGCTTTGCAGTTGGTAGCTGGTGGTCGTTTGGCTTCTACTTACACAACATTGCTGGCTGCCGCGCAGAGTTTGATTATGTGGGCCAACACTGAGCAGCGAACATCCGTCCGTTGCCCGCGAGTGCTCATCAAATCAGAAAAAATCATGATTGCGAACGCATCGAGTTGATGTGAGGAATCATTAAGTGTTGCAACGGCCATGGCAGCGACGAGTTCCAGGAGGAGAGGCCGAGGCCAGCCGGTTTGTGGACATTGCGGTGTCCGCAGTATGCCGTGACAGGCGCATGCCTCAGCTTCGGGATTGTGCTGGCGCTCTTCCTACGGTGGCCGAGCACGGCCTGGGTCTTGGGAAAGTCTGGAGCATTGTTTGCAAACGAATGGATTTTCGGTTTTCAGGAGTCCCCATTTGCCATCCACGACTTTGCCAGAGGAGCTCGGCTGGAGGACCGTGAGCCCCCCCACTTTGGATGTTCCTGTTTGTGCTGCCGTGCCAGAACCGCTTCCTGAGAGTTGCCCACAGCCCCAAACAGATCGCATTTTCGCTTGTTCAGGTGAGACCACGCCCTTTGCATGATGGAGTCGCCTTGCGTGCCCTGGCTGCGCAAAAGGACCTTTCAACCCAAAGCTTGCAAGTTTGGACGGTTGCCATTGCCAGGACAACAGTGCCCAGGCCTGGGGGACATGTGCATCAGGAGGCTTCAACGCTGGGCTTCTTGGCTGCCAGGACCGGCTCGATCTCGAGAAGGCGGCGAGCCTTCAGAGAAAGCGACGTCCCAGCTTGGCCTCGCTCAGGTGCTTGCAAAAGCCGAACGGGTGCTGGAGGACAAGAACACGGTGGACGAGATAAAAGCTCTCTTGGCAGGCTGGAGCAGCACGTGAGTCGGGGTTTCAAGAGCGGTGAAAGGTTTTAGCTCAGGAGCGGAAAAGATGTATCCAGGGAAGTGGAGATGTTCAGGGAAGAAAGACAAGTTGCAACAAGAACTGCGCGAGTTTGTGGAAGAGGCAGGACTGTTTGCTTCCTTTGCCAAAAGGTGAGATTCACATGTCGTGGCATTAATTGTGACGCACGTCGTGGTAGCCGTCCAGGGCAAAGCAGCCCTGAGGGGCTTGGAAGAGGCCGTCGGTTCGAGCGCACTGCACGGCGTGTGAGTCGGGCCGGGCAGGACCTTGTCCTGGCGCGGCAGCGGCTGGGACTTGCGCTGGCGCAGCAAGAGACAGCCCAACAGCAGGTTGAGAGCGCCCAGGAGCAGGTGGCGACGGCCCAGCAGCAGGTGGCAATGGCCCTGCAAACAGGCAACGCTGAGGAGGTGCAGGAGGCGAAGAAGGAGGTGCAGGAGGCGAAGAAGGAGGTGCAGGAGGCGAAGAAGGAGGTGCAGGAGGCGAAGAAGGAGGTGCAGGAGGCGAAAAAGGAGGTGCAGGAGGAGTCCGAGGCGGGCAGACTCGGTCGTTTCAGCGACCGGCTGAGACGTTGGTCCTTGCGCGCGCAGCAAATCCCCAGATTGCGTTGCAGAGCACAGCGCATTTTTTTGGACTTCAGCTGGCTGCATTGTTGGCGCACGTCCCACGAACGGATGGTTGCTCAAACACGCATCCCCAGCTTTGTGTCCATGATGGCGGCAGGAGGACCCAGATGCCACGGCGTTCATCCAGGAGCTGGTCAAGGCCAAGCTCAAGGACCTCGGCGAAGGCCGGGGGGGACGGCGGATCAGTTTTGCTTTTCTTGCTGAAGCCATACTGAGGCGTGCAGGTCTTCGACCTCAAGGAGTGCCTGCCCGCAAGGCCCTATGACCTGAGCGGGAGGAAGCTGCTGACGCGGAACACGACGCGCCAGGCCTGGAAGGCCACCTTCGAGCTGATGAAGAACGGCACGGAGCGCGTGGCCATGCTGGGGATCCCCGGCATCGGCAAGAGCCGGTCCCTGGCGCTGGGCCTGTGGCACCTGGTGTCGGGCCACCGCCCGGACTGGATCAAGGAGCCCGAGGCCGTCGTCTTCGAGGCGTGGGAGGGCGGCTTCGTTTTCGTCTTCACCAAGAACAATGACGGCCGTTGGAAAGCGCAGAGCCTGCCGATTGGCAAGTGGGATGCAAGCGACTGCAAGCACCTGCAGAACAGCAACAACTGGTACCTCGTGGACGCCTGGGAGAAGCGCCCCACGTATAAGCTGCGTGCCAAGACGGTGAAGGCCTGCAGACCCGACAGGGAACACTACTCGAATTTCATCAAAGATGGTGGAGAGTGTGTCTACATAGAGGCGTGGAGAGAGCAGGAGTTGCAGGTGGCCCATGGCAGTTTGGCGACGGCAGTCACCATGAGCACAGTGCTTGAGAGGTTTCGACTGGTTGGAGGCACACTACGCATCCTTCTGGCTTCAGAAAAAGCCTATGCAAAAGCCATCGCTCTGCAGGATTCCGAGGCGAACGACTTTGCCACCGTGCAACGTGCTTTATGTGGAGATCTGGACACCATGGGGACGAAGCTGCCGAGCAGACTTTTCACATACCTTTCTGTGGACGGGACTTCTTGCGAAGTCGCTGTGTGCTCCGCCGGGGTGAGAAGGCTTCTAACACGTAAGCACTATGCCGAGCTTGTGAATTTGTGGAAGGACGGAAGCGACCCAAAATCACGATGTTGGCTGGAAGATTTTGTCGGGGCTTGGCTAACCACGTCTTGGTGTCGCAAGCGGCTGGAGACCTGGGAAATAACGAAAGCAGGAAAAGCACAGGCCTCCTGGACGCACAAGAAGGGCAAAGATTTCGTAGTTCCTGGCGGTTTGGAATTGCTGCAGAGCGATTCCGATGACACTTTCGAGCGCAGATGGCTTCAAGTCATGAAAGGCGACCTGGCAAAATCTCTTCTGCGCAGCCCAGAGCTGTATCCAGGCATCGACTACCTGCTTGACTTCAACCATGGCATCTCTGTGACAAATTCCCCGCACCACAGCATCAAACCGACATTGTTACAGAGGCTGCGTGACATGTTTAAAGGCTGCAAGGGACAACACAATTTCACCCTCTCTTTTTGGGTGACAGGAGACCCGCAGCAATTCAATCCGAAGTCAGGTGCAGAGTTCAACAATTTGATGGCGTTGGCGCAAGGGAGAGGCAGAGTGTTCCGGAATGTGTATGTACAGGTCGTGCAGATTCCAAAAACGCTGGACAGAGTGTCACAAGCCTGACATCCTGAAGACAGTGCGGAATGTGTTGATCATGCAGTGCATGGGGCGCCGAGATCAGATTTCAGATTGCGTTCAAAAATGACGGCATGAACTGGGGATCAGTGTTTTTCTTTTGTGATCGGGCACGGTGAAACCCAGTCTGGCACCACTCTTCGTGACCCCCGACTCGGACCCCGGGACGTTTTTGGAACTCAGGAGATGATCCAAAAGGACTTTCAAGGCGTTCAGAGCAGAGAGTGCTGAAACAAAGCTAGGAAAAACTGGCTGTGCAAGTCTTGAATGAAAGTAAAATCCGTGTCGGCTGCTTCATGAGTTGCTTGGCAAGACGCATTCCGTTGTTGATGTTTTGTTGACCGGGTACTGACACGAAGTTGCTGTGTGACATTCTGTGGATTTGCGGGGGTGCAGGTGAGGTGCCAATGTGGGTTAACAAAACGTGCCTTTTAATTACATATTATGGGGCAAGACAAACAAAACATGGCATATCCCAGAATCTGCTGAAAAGAACTAGTTTTGTGGCATTTATTTTGTGTTAGGGGGGTGGGGGGGTGGGGCATGCCCAAAATAACATCTTCAGCATGTGTAAACTGTTTGACCCTAGTGGTAACTGTAGTGGTTCACATAGTTCATGATAGGTGTCGCCGTGAAAGGTGGAGCTCACAGAGAGACATGCCCACAGAAAGCCATGGTTTCTCTTCCTGCTCGCGGTAGCTTCTGACCTGTGCTTCATCTGCTTCATTTGTTGAATGACATCTTCCAGCAACATTCCTCAATTTGATAGAGGTGTTTTGAGGCTAAATACTTGCATTTTTCCCATGCCGTTGGCCCTTTGCCACACCCTTTGGTAAGAACATGCTTTTCTTGCGTGTGCTTGGAAGGAGTTGAGCTTGAATGTTTCAGCCACTGACCAAATCACCAGAAATACTTCAGGCATCAGGCATCGCATGCTGTGGGTTGCCACATGCTGAGGACAATGGGCAAAACAAGAGTTTCTTTTTGCTCTCAATATTGCGTTTGACGCTGTTGCAGCTGCAAACACGTTGCTTGGGACAAGCAACACAAGCAGCACGCTTATGCAGACTTTTCCGAGTTGGGCCATCCAAAGTGTGTGCTGTTTTCAGCCATCCCTTCTAAGTTGAGGGGGCAGCCTTTCCCCAAACCCATGAACCAAGGTGTTTTCACTGGACGCGTGACATAGTTTCCACAACCTTTTGGCAAAATGTATCTCTGCTCAAGCAATCAGGGCTGACATTTGCATGATCCTTGCATTCCAACATGCTGGTGAAGCTTGACTAGATTTATTTGTATTTGTCACATTCTTTGTCATCGTGCCTTACTTCACTACGTTTCATTGTGGCGTGGTTGGTGGACACGTTGGGCGTTCCCGCTGCATCAGTTCAATTCCAAAGTTAGGTCTAGCTTCACCATGACTCACGCAGCGCCTGTCTTGTTTGGAAGCTCATTATGATCGCACATTCTGCGAAGCGCGCGGAGTTTTGCCGGGACTACGAAATCGTATTGGCGGAAAACTCAGAGGGACTTTGCATGGGGCTGAGGTCTTCAGGCAAACCAAGCACCTTGCAAACTTGTCCAGGTTGGTGATGCCATGGTGGGCAAGACCCATTTACTGTCCTGGGCCTAGCTCGTCTTTGGCTCATGCCGCGCCGTTGAGAACGTGCTGGCACAAAAGAAGCAGGACCTGCTACTTGGGCTCGAACCCGGCGCAGGGCGCTCATGTTCAGCGACCGTCTCCGTGCGATGTTCCAAGATCAAAGTAGAGGGATCACCTGTCGGATTCAGACTGTCAGAGCTTGTATCCAAGGCGTGGCGAGAGTCTCGTGTTTTTTTTTCTTCTCAGAAGTGATGGAGCTCGAAGGATTGGCGTGGAGCTTGCAACCCGAACTGTTCCATTGGCCGCCCGGCACTCAGCGGGCAAGTTTCTTAGTCAGTTTTTCGTCTACCGACGCACAAAAGGTCGGTACTCTTTTGACAGGGACTGCAGGGGGGAACCCTTGCAATGCGACTTGCCAATCCGAAGCTGTCCAAGCTGCGTGATGCGGATGATGCGCGTACCGGGCCATCCCTGTGAGTCGGCAAACTTTCATTTTTAGTTTACTCGCAATTTTTGGACATCAACTCTGGGACCGAGGGTGGTATATACAACTCGTGTGCCCGAGGTAGCTATGCTGGGAAGCTGAGCAGCCACAATTACACTCTTTAAACTCCTCGACTTTCAGGAGTTTTTTGCAGGACGTTCCAAGTTCAATGCTTCGACATGCTGGACGATATTCCAGATGAAGCTGAAATGCTGTGCTCCCATATTGCAAGCCCTGCGGCTTGGTGCGCGCAACTTCATGTTTTTTCAAAGCAACATTTCGAAACTTTCAAAGCGAATTGCAAACCCGAACTCGGACAAGAGTTGATGCTGGGGATGCTTCAGGGCCTACAAACATTGGGGTTTTCCACTCCAGCCTCTGTTCAGGGAACCGCATGATGTCAGGGCAGGTTTTGGGAGACATTTTTCGCATCCTCGGCGAGAAATCAGGTTGCATTCGAATCGTCAACAGGGCTGTCGCGTGGCGGCTTCTAGCCTTTGGAAGACATGTTGCACATGTCCATGCACACAGACAAAAAAGGCTCGAACATGTATAGTGTCCAGGCGTATCGTTGGACCTTGGCACGTGTTTACCATCAAAATTCACAGGCTTCCCCCCGCTCGTGGCAGGTATCGAGCCATCACCAGTGAAGACCGGCGAGCTGCGTTGCTGGCGAGTCTCTGCCATTCTTCTGCCATAGTGCTGGTTGCCTGATTTTGGGGTTGAAACCACCAACCGGATTCGCCTCACAGGAAGCCATTCTCTTTCTGGGGCAGTTCAGCAAGGAAACGAAAGTGGACGCAAGAAGTGCTTTGAGCAGCGGTTGGGTCACGGCACCTCGCTGTCTTTGATCATTTTAGGTCTTTTTCGTTGAGGTTGGAGCCAGGTTGGAGCGCTTCTCGTGTACGACATTACCAGAGAAGGAACCTTCAAGAACTGCATGAAGTGGATGGAGGCGGCTGGCCGACTGCGTGTGACTCAAGTTGTTCGTTTGCGCAACCATTATGACCAATGTTTCCAAAGGAAGCCAGGAGGTCCAACCAGTTTTGCACATTCCCCTGAGATGAGCATATGTGAGGCTCCAACAAGTGTCCAGGTCCAACCATGAGACAGGGCTTTGGAGGACAGAACCTGCTTTTCCATGGCCATAATTTGTTTTCTTCTTTTTCTTCTTGGGTTTGTGAAAGATGGGAGCCAATGAAAAAATGAGAACATCTCGAGCATGCAGGTGTGGATTGATGAAAGACCCCTTCTCTGGCCGTTTCTGCACCGCCTTGGATTCTTTGCATATTGGCAGTCGTCAGTTGAGCCGTTTGTTCTCTCTGCAAGGAGCATTGCTTTGAGGATTTGACTGGTGTTTGCTTGTTATGCCAAGACTCCTCCAGTGCAGCCATCCTTCTCCTTGCAGGAGCTTCGGCAAGGTGCGCATGGTATGGTCATCATGCTGGTGGGCAACAAGGTCAGGCTCCCAGGAGCGCAAACTGTGACCAAAGCATGACATGCAAACCAAAGACTCCGCCTTTGGGTTTTCTTTCAAGCGGCGCACCGTGGCTTCGGCGTGCAAAGCCGCTTCCATGGCGGGATCTGGCAGGTGGATTTGGTAGAGAAGCAGGCACAGGCACCGGCATGGCGACTCTTTGCTTGTGGGTCGGGGAGAACACACATCGCTGTCAGTCCAAGCAAGGGATCTGTTGAAACATGTGGGAACACCAACCAGTTGGAGAAGTTTCTTGTTTCGACGCATTGTCATGCCTTGGCTCCAGACCCCATTTTGGTTGCACAGATGGCCCCGAGGATTTGCAGGGTTTGCTGGGTTCTGTGCGCAGGTCTACTTCGACGCTGCGCAGGAGTTTGCAAAACTGCATGGCCTGTTCTTTGCAGAGGCCAGGGTTTGGGCGGGCCAAGTGGCACAAGGCAGCGGGAGCAGGTCAGGAACGGCACGGCACTATGTTGCTCGTGGGGGGAGCCCTTTTCGGTTTGTTTTTTACACTTGTGCAAGTCTCGGTTTGCGGCCTGTTTCATACCGCACCGTGCTGAACGTTCTTGCAGGCCAGCGCAGTCACTACCCACAACGTAGAATACACTTTCGAGCAATTGCTCCAGGCAGGCAGCAAGAGCGCTTGGGAATTGGGGTCAAGGGTCCAAAGTTTGGATACCTCCCTCTTTTCAAAGTCCAAGCATACATCACTCGATTTCCCAAGTTGTTCGGTTTCTTTGACGACACTTGGGCATGTTTGGAGCATGTCTTGCTTGGTTTCGAACGTCGAACAAAGACACTGACCATGGAATCGAAAATGCCAGCAACGGTGTCCCTTCAATCCAATCTATGGAGAGAGTTCTAGGTGTTCCTCCTAGGGATTGAAACAAGCAACTGTTTTTATGATGTCCAAACAATAATTTGCTCGGAATCTGAAAGGAAATGATCGGCCGAGGATGACCTCCCAAAGAACAAGCCACCAAATGAGTGGACACTTATCCCATCTCATTGCGACCCCCCGTGCTGTGCAATGGCCTTCCTGGGACTATGAGGCCGATGCCTCAAACAAAAACAATTGGTGAAGCAGGCCTTTTGTCAGGAGGAGATCAAGGTGACTTTCCTTAGAGTTGGACGCAAATGCTTTGGAATCTTCCGGATCCAGGAGATGTATGATCAGACCTCCAAGAGGAGGGAGCAGAGCATCGAGACCAGCATGGTGGGCGGCATTCAGGCCGAGCTGCAATGGTCCTTGCCGTGAGGCAAACGACGTGTTTACTTGTTCTCAAGGATTGTCATGCAGAGTTCATAGAGGGAGTTCTGGCAGCTCTTTGGAAATCTTTATCAAAGACCCAAGTCCAAGTTTTGTCGTTCGCAACAATGTTGTCCTGCTGCCATGTTACAGTGTAGCATGCATGATACAACGCTTGTATGTTGACACTCTTGACTTGTGATTGTGAGACAATAGCACACTCGCCATCTATTATTATTATCGTTGTACCTT